CTAGAGATCACAGAATCTTTTACTTTGGAAAATACCTTTAAGATCAAGTCCAACCATTAACCCAACACTGCCACGCCCACCACTAAACCATGTCCCTAGCACTTGACCCACATGTCTCAAATCCCTTCTGGGATGGTGACTCCACCACCTCCCTGGGCAGCCCGTTCCAACACCTAACAACCCTTTCCAAGAAATGGGTTATCCGCATGTTAGGAAAACCCTCCTGATCTCCATGCACCAGGCATGTTCCCGGCCTGTCAGCAGGTAATGAGCAAAACCCACCACAGGGTTAAACCAACAAACACGACTGCAAATGGCTTCACAGCATACTTATGGCAGCGTCTTGACCTGGTTCCCACCCCTCATCCCACTTGCCCCTACACCACCTCCCTCCCCTCAAACCTCCTCATTGCAAGCCCCCATGCTGGGTGGAAACCTCTCTCTTCTGACTAAATAAGACCAGGCAATGAATACAGAATTATTAAAATTGAAGAGAAAAATCAGTTTGGCTCTTCTGACAGGTTTTTTGGAATGTGCCAGCAAGCCTGCTGGAGTCTAAGTGAGTTCAGGCCCTCTCTGTGGGGTGTCAGCTTTCCAGCTCCTCGTCTCGCTGCCCTCTGGCATTGGAACATTCTGCAATTAACTTCTGCACACACCCATGCATGGGCAGTTGCAGGCATGCAGGCACAACCTGTCCCCTTGTCGCCTGCCCAGCGAGGACCCTCTCTCTCCTGCCGTCAGCATGGTGACAGGGTTGGTTCCCCTGGGAGACTTCCCACTGACGCAGGAGAGGCTGAGAGGGGGAGCTGGGCAGACTGGGTTTGGGCTGCGGCAGCTCAGAGTGTCTGCTCAAACCCCTGCATCTTCCTCAGATGAAGTTTAGGACATTGAGGCCTCCCCATCCCCTACCTCCCTAGGTCCCAGGCACTATCCCAAAGCATGACAGGGTGGAGGATGTCTCCTGTGCCAAAGCGGGGAATGCCTGTCCACACCCTTCCCTCTGGAAAGGGATTTAGGGATTCAGGCACAAACAGCCCCAGTCTCACCAGCAAATCCCTCCAGCATACCCAGAACACCTCCTTGACACACTCTGGTGCCCAACAGCCCCAAAAAGGTGTCAGGGAATCAATTCTTGGGCCACTCTGGATAATGGCTGCATTGGCTGGATGAGTCCTTCCCTCTAGGAAAGAAAACAGACCCAAAGGGACTTGCTGCTTCTTGAGCAAAGACCAGAAATGGGAAGAGGAGATTGGACCAAGGGAAGGGCCTTCACTCGGTCCAAGAGTCGCGGGACATGAGTCACGAAAATATCTGGATATTCACATTCCAGCAGCTCAGGCCCATCCTAACGTGTGTACATGCTCGGAGCAGCAAATGCGGTGAACTGTCTGCCTTCCCTGCTGCGACAGGAGGGTGAAATCTGTGGGACCCTTTCACCCCTTCCCCAGCCATCCACCTCCTCCCCAGCCACCCCTGGCTTTCAGTGAGCTGATTTTGGGTGTTGGTCAATGAAGAGAGCACCAACATGTTTGAGAGCCACCCACCAGGAAGATGCTGGAGGTTGGCTTCTCAAAGCCATGGACACCACGAGGTTCCCATGGGTCCTTCACCCACCCCACTCACATTCCTCCACTCTCATGGGATGCTCCAGATCACAGATCAGCCTTCTGAGCCAGCATAGGTGATCTCCCAGCTCAAGGGACGAGGTGTGTGATTCCCCACATGAAGCTTGCCCATTGTCACGGATCAGGGGACCGCTGGGGATAGAATGGACATTGTCACAGTTGGGTCATTTCACTATTCCACATTGCAGCAACTCCAGTGGAAAATGCAACTGGCAGAGGAAGGAGCAGCACCTAGGAGCAATGCAACCCCGGTCCCACATCTCTCCTCCCTTCTCCGCTTTCTGCGAAGCATCTCACGCCTTGCAAAGAGCAGAGCTGCTCCATCCTACTCCTTCCAGCTGTATTTTTGCATCCCCACACCAAAAAGGGAAGGTGCTGGAAGTCCAACGACACAATGAAACACACCAGGGAGCAGAAGGTTTCAGAGCATTTCATTTGTAACCACAGTGAGTTTTGCATTATTGTATATAAGGCATAGACAGGTGATACATACATCTTCCAGCCATTTCAAACCCCTGGATAACAGGGAGCCACAGGGAATACTTTATATATCGGTCCTACCTCTTTGGCTGGCTTTGGTGGAGAGACATAACCGAGTGACGGACGGCCCACGGTCAGGTGAACAGATGGATGTGGCTTGAACAGCAATGCAGACGGGATTGAGTTGGTGTTTTCAGACCTGCTTTTACCCCTGACAGTCCCATGGAGTCTTCTTGGCATGAAAATGGGCTATGCAGCCTGGACTGGGAGCACGGAGGATTGCATGCAGGGATGTAACCCTTTCCTGATCAACTGGATGTCCTGCATCCTGCTCTCCCATCCCTTTCTGTTTTGTCAGGGAAGAGCTGCTGGGAACTGCTGGGGAATAAAATAGGGTTTCTCACTGGGAGAGGCTCTGGAGAGGCAACACACGTGTGTGTTTTGGAAGGGTTGCTTGTTTCTGCTGGGATAGGCAGTGGTTGTTGCGACAGAATGGGTGATGATCAGCGTTTTGCATTCAAGTACGGATCACTCAACTCTTTGGGGTTCTTGGCACCAAGATCTAGTTTCTGAAATAGGTGGGGTGCCACAAAGGAGTAATGCCAAGATGGGAAAACTCACCGCCTCTGCAAACCAAAGCAAGGAAGTGAAATAATGGGCCTGATTTCCCCCTGCAGATAGGAGAGCAAGGCATGCCAGCGCTTAGCAAGATACGCAGACCCTCCTCGGCAGAGCTGGGAGGTGAAAGAGGCGCACACCAATGTTTTCACAAAATATAAACCACAAAACTCACTAGGAAAGGTGCAAAGACAAACAACTTCTCTCCTTGCTCATCAGATCCAATCAGAAAGCATTATGGAAAATTTGACCAAGGCCTGGTACTGTGATAGTGGCTAATAAACAGGTGGGCGGATGCAAAAGAGATCGGGAGACTTCTAGGGAAAACCAAAACAAATGCAAAAATGAAGCAGTTAACTCTGCCGGTAAAACGAAACACCCACCCTGAGGGGTACAAGTCCAGAGCCGCCTTCATCCCTCAAGCTTTTGGGAACGGGATGCTGGATGAGCCTAGGTTTTTATAGCTGCACGTTCTCCAGGTCAAGGACTCCGTCTTCACACATGGCAGCGAGCTGCCACGTGCAGTCTGGGTGCTGTTACAGTACTGAGAAACAAGGGATTTAATGCCCAGCGCATACCATCCCAATCCAGCAGCGTAATTAGGTGTGTGCTTTACCTCCCTGCCTTCTGCTAAGAACAGGCTTCAGGAGCAGGGCAGGAGCTTACATTAGTACAGTTTGTCCTGAGAAACTCTGATCCCCCCGGATCACTTTTCATTGCTACTTGCTCTCACATGTCATGCTGAGGAGCAACAGCCCAGGCGACAAAGGAATCCAAGGAAGAGGTGTCTCGTCCCACTGAAGGGCAGCGAGGAAAGACCTATTGATCATCAGAGGGAATGTAGGAAAAGCCATGTGGTGCCGGAGCAGCAGGAAACCTGTCTCTCAAAGGGACATTTGCTTCCATGCTTGATGCCCCTGTTCTGAGAGATGGTTCCTTGCAGGATGAGTGGATGCAGGATGAAAATTTGAGGCTAATGCTGTTTTGATTAGCATCCTCTTGTGACATGAGCCAGCACCACAAAACGCTAGAAATCCCCTCAGCCCACACCGCTTGCCTGATTACAGCAGCAGGGAGACAGACGGGCAGGAGGAGGGAATAGGAAAGAGCAGAAATGTCCCAGCACTGCCATTCCAGCCCTGTCGCAGCTCGGTGGGAGGCTGAGCAAGACCTGCAGGATATGTCTCGCAATAATCTGTTTGCAAAGCAGAAAGCTTCCAAAGGTGCAGGTTATCTGCCGCCTCGGTGCCCAGCAGCAGCGGGTTTTGCAGCTTACGTTGCCGTCTGGTTCGTGCTGTTTTGCTTAGGGATGTTTGAAAGCACAGGAGAAAAAAGACAAATGCGTTCACTGAGCTGTGGCTGCAGGGGCTGCACATAGCAGGAGAGGAGAAAAGCGAAGTCCACGTGCACTGCTTTGCTCCTGGGATTGTTCTCAGCGTCAGGCTCAACCCAACGCTGCTGCTTTCTGTCACTACAGCACTGGTTCGGAAGGGAGGCATGTGGGACTGTAGAGGTGAAAGAGCATCCCAGAGGGAAAACAAGCTCTAAAACACATGAGCCTGACTGTCCTCCATGAGCACATAATTCAACACGAGCTTGGGTTTAGCAATTACCACCCACCACTGCTCAGGTTTTGCCTCTCAGCCATTTCCCTGCGTCCTGAATCTTGTGGGTTTTGCCCTCTTTGGAAAGTTATCAGCCCAGTGTTTCAGGCTGTGCGGTGCATTTCACCTTCCCTAGACTTTATACATATATAAACCAGATAATACACATTTCACGGCAAAGGAAAACTGAGGCTTGTTCAGAGTGCAAAGGAAAGTGTGCTCAGAACATGAGAGATTTCGGCATGCGGGTTCTGCCTACAACCAGCAGCCCGTGGCTCCTCCGCTGACGTCCGCAACACCTCTGCCCGCTCTGTATGTATGAAAAGGTCCTTTTCTCCCCCACCCTCTTCAGTTTTGCACTGGTCTTTAAGCTTTGCAAGATCAAGCAGCTTAACAAAACAAACAAAACAAAACAAAACAAAACAAAAGGACAGGCAAAGAAGTAAAATAAGAAATATTTTAGAATAGGTATTTTTTACGTGCTGCTTCCAAGGTAAATGCTGTATTCTGCACACTGCATCAGGGTAAGTTGTATCTTCGATTTGGCAGCAGCCTAGGGCCAGGGAGAGGCTGTTCCTTCTCCATCTGCAAATGTGTTCAAGAGCAGAGCCACAACTTCTTTCCAAAATCCCCAGGCAGGCACAGGACCTTTCAGGCGTTTTCCAGCACAGCTTCAGTTGAAAGGTTTCACCAGTTTCATAGCAGCGTAGTTCTGGAGGGATGTTTTTGCTGATTTGAAGCAGGTACAGCGAGGCGGCATGTGGAGGTCAAAGCACTTTTTGGGGCACGGTGCAGAGCTGCAGACAGAACTGCATTCAGGGCAGGCACAAGGGCCAAGCTCCCAGATTGCACAGACGAGCAAACAAGAAGTGTATTCCCACTAGCAAGGACTGTAGAAAGCCCAAGACATGGGAAAACAGGTCTTGCCATCTTCCAGTAGAGGCTACTGGTCACAGCCACCAAGCAGGGAGGACCAAGAGTCACCTCAGGCAAGATTATTCTGTGCCTGTTTTCTGGCATCTCTACCATCCCTGTTGTTGCATGGTGAATCAGGGAGCTGCCGTGGAAAATGAGGTGTCACAGTATTTTAATCTATTATACGCGCAATTCCTTCCTTGAAAGAAGATGACAGGGACGTGAAAAAGAGTAAGATGTGCAAATGCTGCTTATCAAGACCACAATGAAAACACAGCTGAAATGAACACTTAGGTTGTTTGGAAAGAGCTCTATTTAAAGTAGCTCTGATTCAAACCCCCACAACCACATACTAGCCAGTTTGGAAGTCCCTCCCAAGCAGATTGAATTTAATTGGTACAGGATGTTCTATCACTCTGTCACTTTTTAAAAATAATTAAAAAAAAAAAAAAACAACCCTTGGAAACACAGCATAATGCCAGTTACCAGCAAGTTCTTCAGAGGAACAGGGGGAAAAAGAAAGAAAAAAAATAAAAAATCCTAACCGAAGTAAAATCTGACCAAAGGCATCTTGATAAATTACAACGTGTAGCAAATCGTGAGGCAGTTTGCCAATTGAGGATTTCTAATAACGCCATAAATCAAGCAAAGTTAGGGCAGTTTACCAGAAGTCATTAGAAAAGCCTCCAATGTCATATAACCTTCGAATTAATTATCCATCCATTTGTCTTTCAGAGTCTATCCTCCAAAACACTCCTATTTTTTATGCTTTGACTGGTTGCATTCTGGAGGGTAGCAAGTTCTCTGTCCAGCTATGAATTCCTATTAACAAAGTGTTGAAAGCCAAGCAGGATTATCAATCAGTGCAGAAAGCGAGCCGTAATTAGAATTAATGGCAATGGAAGCAACGCTGGGCTTGCAGAACACAAACAGAGCTTTAAAAGGTAGTAAACATTTTCATGCTGCCGCAAAGCAGAGCTGAGTCCAGCTGGAAGTAGCGTTACATTTTTCTGTGGTGGTAACCACTAAAATCTTTACAATAATCACTGCTTCAGGGAGATAACTTCACCACAGTATTCCCCATGCGTTACGGATGCAGAAGGCCAGGCTGGATTTCATATAACCTTTCCTTCTGACCTTGTGTCTAGCCCAAGACTTTCACTCAACCATTCCCACAGCAGAAGGAAAAGGTCTTCTTAGTCATGGCACTGTTGGATGAAAAGTCCATCAAAGTCACTGGACCTTTCCAAAAAGCCCCATGGTGTGCCATAAACTAGCACTGCTGGACAGGAATATGGGGTGGAACTAGAGCATATCTAGCAGAAAGACATTCAATCTTGATACATGGACGAGTCAAGCAACGATGAATGTACCACAACCTTTGGCAAACCATTCCAATGGTTAATTACCCTTCGTCTGCAAAATTAGCATCCTATTTCCACTGGAATAGTTCCTCTAACTTCAGCATCAAGCTACTGGACCTCATTATGCTTCCATCTGTTGTTTAAGGAGTCTTCTGATGACAACTTAAATCTAAGGACCGTCTGAGGAAATCATATAGGAAATATCCGGGGAATGCTGTTCCCAGAGTCCTAGCTTGTACAGACCATAATGACAACCACTCTGCAGAGAAAGTCAAGGCAAAGCAGTGAGTAATTTGACACTAAGACTGGGTGGAAGAGCCCAAGTAAAAAAATGAAGAACCTCAGAATATCAGATTTTCAACTCTTTTTTTTTTCCCCATTTTTGTAAAACTAGACAACTTTTTTAATGGAAATTTGCAATACTCTGCAGTTTTCCACCCAAAACCAAAAGGCTTTTCAGTTGGAAATGGCCTCTCACCCACTAAAACGAGTTGCTCTGTAAACAGTTGCACTAATGATGACTGATTTCTTATGGACATGTGCCTAAATTTCCCATACTGCAGTACTCCCAGCTACCCAAGGGCTCACCCTCAAAGCACTTCCAGACCCTTCCCCAATTCTGCAGGTTTCCCCCTGCTCCTTCCAGGGACCCTAGATCCCACTGGGACAGCCATGACATGTTCCCTGACTAGAAAACAACTGCTGGTTGCATAAAGCTCTACTGAGAAGAAGGTTTTGAAGAGGACCCAAGAGAAGGAATGGGAAGATCTTTATCCCAGCCCATGATCCATTTCATATACTTTGTGTCCTGAGGATGGAGGAAGCACAAAGGCACCACATCTTCAAAGGTTTCTGATCCCCTGAGGTAGCTCTAAAGGCATATAGATTTTGTAGAATAAATGCATATAATATTTTGCAGAATATTTTGTTTCTTGCCTCAATGGGGAAAATACTTCCCTGAGGTGTAAAGCATGTCTTGATGGGTATTCTGAGTGAGACCAAGACATCGTTTTTTCATTTTCACTAAAAAATACTAAGCTTTTGGGAAACACCTTCTTTGAGCACTGCTGCTGGGAACCACAGACACCCCTTCACCATTTCGGGTGGAAGCACACAGTTTTTGAATTGGACATTTGCTCTTACTCTCAAGCTACCCTGACCACAAAGCTGGGACTGTGGTTGGAAGCTTTCAGCACTATATGGGCAATAGGAATAAATTTCTTTTTTAATCCTATTTTTATACCTAGGGCCAATGGAAATGCCCTGGGTTTGTTTTCAGCTGAGATTTCTGTCTCTCTGGATGGAGGCTGACCTATGCAGGGTTAGCTTAGCTCACTGTTAGTTTCCCAGGGCATATTGTGGATATTTATTTCTCAGGTAAATTGTGTCCTCCTTCGGTGTCTCAGGCAGAATCTAAACAAGACAAGAGTTGGAGCCAGGGCTCAGGATTCTCTGGCAGCATCTGGTACATGGTACTCAACATTCCCAGATGGTTCTGTATGCAAGGAGGGAATTCCAACTGCAGGCAGGGCATTCAGGTTGCAGGCAGAGCATTCCAACTGCAGGCAGGTAATTCCAACTGCAGGCAGGGCATTCAGGCTGCAGGCAGGTCCCAAGACTCCTGCTGAGCCAAGGACCAACTGCTGCAGGGCAATGACTGGAAGGACCATGGAGGTCCCTACGGAGGTCCCAACATGCAGAACGCTGTGGGTGAGCTCTTCATGCAAGGCCATAGCAAAAAGGGCAACAGAAGCAGGAAAATAGTAACTTCACCTATGTATGTACCCCTTACCTTCTAGTCCAGGAGCCCTAACAGGATTCCCTTGAGGTTCTTTAATCCTATTTTTATACCTAGGGCCAATGGAAATGCCCTGGGTTTGTTTTCAGCTGAGATTTCTGTCTCTCTGGATGGAGGCTGACCTATGCAGGGTTAGCTTAGCTCACTGTTAGTTTCCCAGGGCATATTGTGGATATTTATTTCTCAGGTAAATTGTGTCCTCCTTCGGTGTCTCAGGCAGAATCTAAACAAGACAAGAGTTGGAGCCAGGGCTCAGGATTCTCTGGCAGCATCTGGTACATGGTACTCAACATTCCCAGATGGTTCTGTATGCAAGGAGGGAATTCCAACTGCAGGCAGGGCATTCAGGTTGCAGGCAGAGCATTCCAACTGCAGGCAGGTAATTCCAACTGCAGGCAGGGCATTCAGGCTGCAGGCAGGTCCCAAGACTCCTGCTGAGCCAAGGACCAACTGCTGCAGGGCAATGACTGGAAGGACCATGGAGGTCCCTACGGAGGTCCCAACATGCAGAACGCTGTGGGTGAGCTCTTCATGCAACGCCATAGCAAAAAGGGCAACAGAAGCAGGAAAATAGTAACTTCACCTATGTATGCACCCCTTACCTTCTGCCTGCTCAGACTGATGGTCCAGGAGCCCTAACAGGATTCCCTTGAGGTTCCCCTCCCATCACCCATTCCTTTGCCCAGGACGAGAGGGGCAGAACACACACAAAAACCTCTGCTTCCAGTGTGGAACCTCAAAACTGCATGTGGAGTGGCAAGATTACATATACTAATGCAGCAAGGTCCTTATTTTAAACAGGACCTGATGGTGCTCCTGGCACACAAATCAGGACTGAAGTGAGGAGGGATTGTTTTTCCATGCTTTTAATCAGGGATGTAATGGCGAGCCCTGCCAAAGGTCAGGATGCCAGGGGCATCCTTCATAGCAAACCGTCACCAGCGCGATTGCCAGATTTAGTGCCTGATGAAACGGGAAAAGAACTAAATCTACAAGTAGATGCAGAACCAGTGACCTCAAAAATCTAAGGGAAGCTGGCCAGATACATTAAAAAAACAGAAAAATTCCATGAAACATGGCCTTAATTTTTCAAAATATGACTAAAAAATTGACCCAACCAAAAGGAAATTAAATACAACAATATTTAGCTAGGAAACAGGGAAAAATCCCAAGTAATAATGAGTGTAAATCAATATTTATAGTTTGCAAATTTTTTCTCCTCTCCATGTTGTTTTTATATGATACCACTGGAACGAAAGCAAAGCCACTTGCATCTTCAGGGAAACACTGAGTTCTTCTTGGTCAAAAAGGCTTGGTTTCTGCTGCTTGACATAAAGGGGAGTCTCCAGGAATGGCTCGGAGTACAGAGCAGGGAGGAGGCAACGCAGCACAGATCCGCACTTGCACACATTATTTCCTCCTTCATACTACTTAGCACTTCTGGAATCATTTCTCCAGCAGAAGAATCCCAGCCCTTTCCATGGAAAAGAGGATAGAGAGATGGGGAGAGCCGTGACCTAATCCCAACCCATTTTTTCTCTATGGGAACAACTGAGCATGCACAGCTTCAAATCATCTGAAAGTGATTACAACAGCAAGGAGAAATTCCACACCTCGCTTTTCAGTTGCACATTGCAAGCACACAAAGCCATCTGCAAAAGGCAGCCACGTTCTCTCACATAAAGTTATAAATCACCCCAATGAGTTCTTTTTTTTTTAAAAAAAAAAAAAAAACATATACAAGAAGCAAAATTTGTTAAGTGCTGGAAAGAGAGAGGCGGGTCATTTTTCTTATCAGTCTGGGAGGAGGGGAAATGGCATCCAACAGCCAGCATGAATTATTCCAGTGCTGTAGAAACAGAGGAGGATACAAAACCCCATTCCAAGCCAAACTGGAAGGACAGGGCTCCATTATTTACTTATTTTGTTTTGCCAGTGGAACTGACAGCAAGACAAGAAAAAGCCACTTTCTTGATGAATGAGGTGAAACCCCTCCCCCTCATTTCAGACATTACATTGGTATAACGTGCTCCCAGCACTGATAACAAGAGACGGGGCTGCCCAAATGCTTATAAACTCCCCTGCACCTTTAAACAATCACGGACCGATGCGGCTTTTGCCCCTGCTCAGCCCTGTAAAATGGCTGGATGTTTGTCGAGGATTTTCCCACCAGCCCTGCAATATCTCTGACATCAGCAGCTCGAAACTCATTGAAAACAATCAATTAATGTCAGCCTTGTTAGACAAAAATTGAAACACAAGCACAGAGACGTGAGCACCTTAGAATAGAAACACAGAATCATTTGGGTTGGAAAAGACCTTCAAGACCACCCAGTCCAACCGTTCCCCCAGCACGGCCAAGCCCACCACTAACCCATGTCCCTGAGCACCTCGTCCACACGGCTCTTCAATCCCTCCCGGGATGGGGACTCCACCACC